TGCCTGTTATAGAACAAATTGCTAACGACCCAATTTATAGACCACCCAGAGAAGAAGTTAACTTAGGGGCCAGGGCACCAAGGTTAGAAGCCCCAATAATCCCAGGCCCACAAAGAGAAATTATGGAACCAGGGGCAAGGGTCGAAAGGCTAAAAGCCCCAGAGTTTCGAGAAGAACAACCTAGGGGAGTTGTCCTGGTTGGTCGAAATCAAGATGCCGATGCTGTCATTCATAGAATTCGAAACGATAACATCTTGGCAGAAAACAATCTAACCACCATGATAGAGAGAGTCATGGCCCAGAATGGCCTCAACACAGGAATGAGAAGGCCAAATTATGCTTCTCCTATATTGGATTGCATAATGCATACTGATTTACCAAGGGGATATAAAGTCCCTAAATTTACAAAGTTCGCTGGGGATACCAATGAGTCAACAGTCGAACACATAGCGAGATATCTAACCGAAGCGGGAGATATAGCCAAAAATGAAGATCTCAGGATCAAATACTTCCCAAGTTCCTTGACTAAAAACACCTTCACATGGTTTACCACTTTGCCTCCTGGGTCCATTGACACTTGGGCTCTCTTGGAGAGATTATTCCATGAACAATTTTACATGGGACAGTCGAAAATAAGTTTGAAGGAATTAGCCAGTGTCAAGAGAAAGTTCACCGAACCCATAGATGATTATCTGAATAGATTTAGGCTTTTGAAATCCAGATGTTACACAGTAGTGCCTGAACATGAGTTAGTCGAAATGGCCGCTGGTGGTTTGGATTACTCTATTCAAAAGAAACTAGACACTCAATATTTGAGGGATATGGCTTAGTTAGCCGATAGGGTTCGACATGTCGAAAGGCTAAAGGCCGAAAAAGCCAGAGTCTTTAAGAATCGCAAGAAAGAAAGGATTTCCTATGTTGGAACTGAGGAAGCAGAAGAATATCTTGAATTCGAATTCGAAGAGGTCGAAATAGACCTCGCTAAATTAAAACAGGCTCCACCTTATTCCTGCAAATTATTGGTTCCCACAAAAGGGAAAGAGATTGTTGAAAATGAGAAAAGTGACAAATTCCCAAAGAAGGTTTATACCTTCGATGTCACCAAATGTGACGAGATTTTCGATTTACTTGTCAAAGATGGCCAACTCATTGTGCCATCAAATGTCAAAATACCTCCTTTAGATCAGAGAAAGAAGAGAGGGTTTTGCAAATATCATAGTTTCCTAGGCCACAAAACCTCAAAATGTTTTCTTTTCAGGGACCTAATTCAAAATGCAATCAAAGATGGCAGACTAAAGTTTGCTGTTAAGGTAAAGATGAAAGTGGACGAAGATCCCTTGGACGTTGCAGACACCAACTACTCCGAGCCTGCATGCATTGGAGAGATTAACATGGTGGAAACTGACCAAAGCGACGCCCTAACAGGAGAGAAGGGTACTGAAACTGAAAACTGGGTGATGGTCGAAGTCGATAAGGAGGTCACTGAAGACATCCAGAAGATGCCAGAGACTTTGATTGAAGCAGCACCTGTAGCTGTTGTAAGAGAAACCCAGACTACTGAAGGCCAGGGAAATCAAAACCAAGAACTAACACAGGTCACTGAAGGCTTGAGGCTGGAATTGGAGAAAGTCCAAATCACGAAGCCAACTTCCCCTCAGAAGGAAATATGGGACACTCTAGGGGAACCCAGTGGAAAATTTGACTATTTGGTCAAATATTCTGCCCCAGAGAGTTCGAAGGTTCAGATTGAGGATATAAAGCCCACAGGATGGGGCGATGATGAAGCTAAGGGGGAAGATGTTGAGATAAATATGGTGGATATGGAAAGGCCCCGCTCTGAGATGGAGGAAGTAGAAAAATACTTAGAAAAAGAGAAGTATAGAATGGAGGATAATCACACTGGAGATGCTAGTCTCAAGGATTACCTCATGACATGCCACAAAGGAGATTCAGGCATAATACTGTGCCCTAGGTGCAGCATCCTCTGCAATCAGAGAATCACTGCGAATTTCGAAAGGGTGCAGAGGACTCGAACTGGCAACAATTGGCGCCAGGATAACCAGCTTTTTAGGTGTTATCCCAAGGCTGGAGAAAGTTTGCTGGAATTTGTGTTTCGCTGCTACAAAGGGGCAACCAAGTGCTTGATTTGCCCAAGGTGTTCTGCTGTGTATAACCAAAGCATGGCCAGAGCCTTCGAAACGATTCCCTTCGCCCCTTGTTGGAACCATCAAGAAACTGTCCAGATGGGCCCATGTTTCGATAGTGTAGCGGTGAAAATCGGAGATCAAGCTATTAATTAACTTGACTCGCAAAAGCAAGAGTCGCCACCGCGCTTTATTATTTCCAAGGGAAAAGGGAAAATAGCGAAATAAAACCCTAAAATATGCAATGTAAAATAATACTTAAAAGTAATAAAAATACAATGCGTTTTTTGAAAGAGATCGAGAGTTCGGGGGTTGGTTATACAATGGGAAGGTATTAGCACCCAATGCATCTGCGGTACTCCGCAGGAACCTTTTGAAATATCTGTTTTTGGTTTAAATTGTTTGTTTGATTAAAATGGTTCGTTTGGCTAAAAATCGGTGTTGGAGAGATTTTGAAGATACGATGACCTAGTGTCGAAGTTTTGACTTAAAAGGTGTGAGTTTAAAAATGGAGTCTTTTGGGAGAATTATCTTAAATTTGGAAAAATAGTAAATAGGCAAAAAATGGATGAGGGTATTCGCACGATTATAACAAATATATTTGATGACATGAAGTCAACAAAGTTAAAAACATTTCCCTTGGATTAAATCGATCGAGCAAAATAAAATAGACGTCAAAATATAAGCAATCGAAATTCACAAGAAAATAAATATGACTAAACAGATTAATGACCTAAAGGCATCGAGAAATTAAAATGACAAAGATATTTAAATAAAATAAAAGGGAATGTAACTAATTATCTAAAGGAGTTATTTAAACTAAATTAAAAATTTAAGATTACTTACTAAAAAATTCTAAACTAACTACAAATTCTAAGGTTGCAAAAATAGTCCTAAAATTACTAAATTAGATCTAAGCTAAATTAAACATTTTAAAATTAGTAAATTAAATCTAAACTAAATAAATATCTCAAGGTTGCTAATCTAAAACAAAAAAAGTTCCAAAGTTACTAAACTAAATTTAAATCAAATAAAATTCTAGAAGAATATTAAACTAATTCTAAACAACTAAAATTCTAAAGTTAACTTAAATAAAATAAATAAAATTCTAAAGTTTACTAAGTTAAAACTAAATTCTAAAATTTACTAAGTCAAATCTAAATGAAATAAAATCCTAAAGTTACTAAAATAAAACTAAAAAAAATAAAATTCTAAAGTTTACTAAGTCAAAACTAAAACAAATAAAATTCTAAAGTTTACTAAGTCAAAACTAAAACAAATAAAATTCTAAAATTTACCAAGTCAAAACTAAAACAAATAAAATTTTAAAATTTACTAAGTCAAAACTAAAACAAATAAAATTCTAAAATTTATTAAGTCAAATCTAAATGAAATAAAATCCTAAAGTTACTAAAATAAAAATAGAATTAGAAGTTATAAGGAATACAAAAAAATTAAAAATTAAAAAAAAACCTACTCTAATATTTTTGTAGTTTTATCTTGTTAAGAAAATTAAATCAAAAGGAAGTAAAATTCTAATCTACTATTTTAATTATTTTTTTTATGAAAAGAAATTAGAAGTTAAAAAGAAATGAAATTCTCATTCTATTTTTTTAAATTTTTATCATGTAGAAAATTTAACCAAAATCAAATAAAAGCTTAGATAACAATTCAAGAGTTAAAATTCTAAATACTATTTTTGGTATTTTTGAATGTGAGAAAATTAGGAAAGAAAATAAAAACCTATTCTATTATTTTTTATATTAGAAGTTAAAAGGAAATGAAATCCTAATTTTAATTTTTGGATTTTTTATTATCATGAAGAAGATTTAAAAGAAAATAAAAAAAACTATCATAATAAAAATTTTCTGATAATTTTTTAATGTGAAGGAAATAAGAGAAAATTAGTAACAAGAAAACAAATTAATTAAGACAATTAATAGAAAAATAGAAAAGAAAATTGAAATTTGAATAAAATGGGGGGGGTGAGAGATGATTAACTCGCTGGGCTTAAAGGATTCGGGTTAACAAAGCATAAAAACCCAACATAAATTCCAAGCTTGCCATCGATTAGGTCTAGCCGCTCATGTAGTTGGGAAGGATGAATAATTAATTTAATTATTTATTACTAAACTCAATTAAATGCAAACTTTTGAAAGGAAAAAAAATTGAACGAGTAAATGTCTCTCTAAACTAACGCTCTCTTATCTCTTGTAAATCATTCTTCAATGATTCCTTTCTCTCTCATTAAATTGATACTATCTTTCTCTTCCAACTAAACAAAATTAAAAAAAAAAAAACAAAAAAAAAACTCTTCTCTCAAAGTTACTTCGGTTTACAACAATAGCAACAGCTCACGGACCAAAATACAACAAGATCAAGCATGAATCTGATGTAAACAGACATGAGGATAAGATTCAGAGAAACATATTCATATCAAGATGTTCAAAGGCATAAAAAAGGATGAGATAGAAACCGATATTACCAACGAGAAAAAAAATTTCTCGGTGAAGAGTCATGTTAATCTGTGAGTTTCTTTGCTTTCAGTTTTCGTCCACTTTTAACTTCTTCTCTTCTTCTTCTGGGATCTGAACTGTTACCTATGGAGATGGTCATCGACGATACTGCGGCGGGGTGCTTCGGCTGGTAACATCGAGATGTCGACAACGATTGATATCTGAATGGGAGGTGGTAGTGATGTTGGGCGTAGGTTGGGGGGTTTACGGTGATGGAGCTTGTCGATGGTAGCTGGTGGTGGTTCGGTAACCGGCGGAGGGGTTAATGGTTCTGGGTGAGTTACGGTAGACAGCGGATTGATGGATGATGGAAGGGTTTCAGGCAAGAGATTGATTAACCATGTTTGAAGGGTGCGCTGTAGCTGAAGGCGTTACACTAGGCAAAGCACCTTGCAAGGATGACATAGAAGGAAATGTTGGGCTTGTCTTTTATGCTTAAGGTAGTAATTGATGGCAGAACGGTAGTTGGGTTTTATGCAGAACTGGAAGAGAGATGGCAAGGGTAGTGTCTGAGTGAGTTTCGGATGGTGAAGTGGTTGATGATGGTGATGGCGAGATAGCGGGTTAAGGCGCGACACTGCAATCTGAAGGGGACGAAGTTCATCCTTGCAGTAGGAGCGTGAAGTTGACGATGTCTAGTGAAATATCAGAGTTTGAATTAAGAAAGCACGGAGATGACAAAGCTTGAATCAACACGAATCTATGAGAGATTGAGGTGGGATGATGAACAACATAGCACGACGGGAGCGATGAGGGGATGTAGAAGGAAAAGCCGCTGCATTTTAGATTGAGAGAGGAAGAGATCGTGTTTTTATTCTCTTATGTTTCAAATCTCTTGAGTTCTAATAACATGTTCATGTTTCCTGGATCTGTTTATGCTTTTTCTGGGACAGTGGCAGTATTTGTGAAGGTTGTGAGGGAAGTGATGGCTTTTTATCAGACTCAATTTCGCGAGACAGGTTCATTATAGATAACTGCAAAATCATATTCTTTGTTGGACATGAAACTACTGCAATTACAGCATCTTGGTGCTTAATGGTGTTGGCTGTTTTTGTTGTGTGTGTTTTGTGAATGGTAGTGGAGAGAGGGAATGGTTGTGAGGTGGAGAGGAGGCAGCAGTGGTGTCTCACGAAGGTTGTTTGAAGGTGGTGATGACCGAAGGTTAGTGTTCACGTGAGGAAATTATGAGTTGCTGTGTATAAATTTTTGGTTTTTGTTGTGTCCTGGTGTTTTTCTTTTTGCTTCTGTTTTTATAGTGAATATATCATAGAATTAGAGGGAAAATTGGAGCCAAATATCAGTTGAATTCTAGTTTATGTCAATTGCCTTATGCTTTCTTGATGCAGGAAAAATTTAACCATTCTGGGTAATGTTTGGAGCAGTTTATTCTGGACAGCAAGCAAACTACAGTTTTGGGCATTATTTTTGGACTGATGTGTAGCAGTAAAATTATCATGAAAGGTCCCTTTTCTACTTTGCATTTTTTCTGATTTTTTCCATATAACCATACATGTATTTTCCCTCACTTTTCTTTCAAAATATTGAACTGATTATGTTTTCATATATTTGTTGTTTTGGTGGACAGGTTTGGATGAAAATTGAAGCAAGGTTTAGACTTGGTATTTGTTTGGACATTTTTTACAAGGAGAGGAATAGCATAATAATAACAACAATAATAATAACAAAAAATATTAAACTAAAAATTTCCAAAACATGAAAATTAAAGAGAAATTAAAATTAATTTTAATTTTAATAATAACTCAACTAAAAAGTTGAATTAAAATTAGAACCAAATCGAGATTAATATTGAAAGAAAAAAAATGAAAATTATAATAACTAAAAGAATTAAAAGGAAAAGATACTAACTATATATTTTTGTGATTAAAGTGAAATGCTAAAATAAAATAATGCTAAGACATGTTTTTTTTTTGAGATTTTGACTAAATTAAATCTAGAAGACTATAATTTTGACTTAAGAATAAAAATCTAAATGAAACTTGAAGAGACTACTTTTTTGATATTTTGAATAATAATGTAAATAAAATTAAGATGACATGAACTAAATATATATATTTTTTTTTTAAGGATTTTTTTTCATGGAATTAAAAAATAAAATAAGAGAAAGTGTAAAATTTATGGTCGGATAAAACATAGTCCAAAATTAAGAATCAAATGCCATTAAATTCGTGAAACAACTTCGAACGTTAATAACTTTTTCGTGGCTTTTCAATGCATAATCATCTCTTGTCTTGTAAAGAAAAATTGTAGATGGTGTCAAGAAAAATCATATGCAAAAAAATAACCCCTCAAAATATTGAAATTTGAAGAAGTTACGAATTTTTGAAATCTGACTCGGGAATTGGCAAAAATAGGTCGAATTGCTTGTGAACTCTTGCCATGCAATGATGCGGATGGAATGCGGGATCTTAGGTCAAAAATTAGGGTATGACAGATGCCCCTATTTAAGTTTTTTCTATCCAGAGATATGAAGATTGGAATCTTCATTTCGACGAGATCGAAGGGACTTAAATATAGAATACATAATTTTTGGCCATAAGATACCGCAATTATGTTTATGATCTGATATGAATGGAACATTTTGAATTTAATGAGGAAGGATTCCGTATGAGGCAAACTACTGCTGGAGAAACCAAGCACATTATACAGTAATCCCACTGGGGAAGAGGTTATAACTCCACTGGGGAAACAAAGTCATAGACTTCAAATGAGAGACTCTCATTAAAGAATAACTTTGAGGGAAGAAATGAATGATTTACATCAGTACGAGACTGGAAAAGAAAATGATTTACATCAGTACTGAGACTAGAGAAGGGAAATGATTGACATCAGCACTGTGGCTGGAGATAAACATCTCTGATTTCTGAATTTTACCAAGAACGGTAACACATTTCTTCTTTAACCAAGATATTGCTTGAAAAGGATAAAATAACAAACTTCCCCACGGGACTTTTCCGAAGAGATGCCATTTGCTGAGTAGACATTATTGTTGGGGATACACAAGCTGCTCAAATAAAGAGGCCGCCACTTGCTATCTTTCAAAGGTGACAATAACACACAAGTTGCTCATGAAGAGACCGCCGCTTGCTGTTTTTTCAAAGATAACAATAACACACAAATTGCTCATGAAGAGACCGCCGCTCGCTGTTTTTTCAAAGATAACAATAACACACAAGTTGCTCATGAAGAGGCCACCGCTTGCTGTTTTTCAAGGTATCAATAACATACAAGTTGCTCATGAAGAGACCGCCGCTTGTTGTTTGTCAAGAGTATCCATAACACATAAGTTGCCTCATGAAGAGACTACCGCTTGCTGTTTTTTCAAAGATAACAATAACACACAAGTTGCTCATGAAGAGACCGCCGCTTGATGTTTTCAAAGGTGACAATAACATAAAAGTTGCTCATGAAGAGACCGCCGCTTGCTGTTTGTTAAGAGTATCCATAACACACAAGTTGCCTCATGAAGAGACTGCCGCTTGCTGTTTCCCAAAAAGATACCCATAAAATATCGTGAAGATATTGCTGGAGGTGAGAACCAATAATTTCATCGGGGATGGACAAATTGCTCATGAAGAGACCGCCATTTGTCATAAAGAAATCAGAAATAATCAAACTGCTCAAATAAAGAGTCAGTCGCTTGTTGTCATGTCGATATTCCAGAAGAAGGTTGTGATAACACTACTGGGGAATAAAGTTCATCTTCAATGGGGAACCATGAGTAAATCCTTCTTGAGGAGACCAAGTATTTACATTGCAAAATAAATGCACTCTCCATCTAGGTTTCACAGCCTAGAGAGATCCACAGGGTATCATTCACAAGAGACAAAGCTCAATCCAGGAATAAACTGGAGAGAAAATAGTCAAAACAAGACTCCGCCCAATGAGGAAACAACTCAAATGGGGATTTATCCTATCCAAAGATGGAAAAGGAAAGCTAAAGCAAGATTCTTCCACGAGAGTTAACTCAGTGGGGAATTAGAAAAGAGGCGCACTTTCTGCTTAAGTTGACACTCTATTTGGAAAGATCAAATACGCTATTTGAATAGACATAACTAAGGTATACGAACTCAAAAATATCAACAAATACAACTGTGCGTGCATGATGCAAGTGTGAATGAATAAATGAATGCCATGTATGTGCGGACAAAACAGACAGGGGAGATGGACAGAAAATGATAAGACATCACAGTACAACTCGACACTCGGCTAATCTCAACAGGATGGTAACATTACTGGAGATAGAAAACAAAAGCCATCATTGGAGCAAGGTCTTTTTACAAGGCTTAAATATCTCAGGAGAGGAAGATATTTTCAGGTAGAAAACCCAAAGTCTAGTCTTCTATTGCAAACAATCCATTGAAAGGATAACAACACAAACAAAGTTTCAGCTGGAAAGAAGTCTTGCTTAGCTGGAGATATTGGGAACACCACCCACTGATGATGTATGAAAAACATATCTTGACAAATCTGGATTTCCCCTGGGATTAATTTTGGATGCCCCAAGTTTACTGCTGATAAGCTGCGTGTTGCACGACATTTCTTGCGAATAACTTCACTTAAAATGCCCCAAGCCATATGGCTGATGAGGAGAAATAATCTCAAGAGGATTTTACAAAAGACCTGGAATTCACCATACTCTGGTGTCTTCAAACTCTTAGAGAGATTCATCAAATCTCGACGTGATTGCCCCGGATTGACTGTAGTTGGCACAACAAAGTCTTCAAATTGTTGCCCCAAAAGAGTAAACAAGTTAGGAAAACATTAACTGGGAGAAGCAACATGTCCATGTTCAAGGTCTTTAGGTGACATGCCCCTGGATACGATTTTTCTTAACGTGATCCGCCAATTACTCAACATAGTTTCAAGCCTCAAAAGAATAAACTCCTCATTGCTGCTTATATGTGAGCTTCCTTGATATCAAACAACTGTTTTGCAGTTAGAAAAGTTTATTATGAGAATGAAAATTCTAATGCAACAGTTGTGTAAGTCTTGAAGATTTTGAAAAGATATCGCACAAATTTTGCGAGTTAGAGCATCATTTATTTTTGTATAGGAAAAACATATGATACCAACATAACTATTTAGAACATTCATGGGAGTCAGGAACACTATCTCATTGAAGTATGCTTTCAAAATAACCTTGCTTCAATTAGGACTTTTGAAGGTTGTAATGTGGTCTGGTTCATGGTTTTAGAAAAAAAAAAGGATTTAAGGCTCAAGATATTTGGTGCCCACCCCCTTCATGATGTTCTCCAATCCTATGTTCAGTTAATTCAACATGAGTGTTCATCTTTCAAGAGGATTTTGTGACGGTCAAGGAAACGACGAGGCTTTCGGAAGAGAAACCCCCCTTATGTCTTCGTGTTTGTAGTCACCAATTTGTTCTTTGCTGAGGACTTTTCTTTGTAGTCCTTTCTTTGCAATTTTATTTTCCCTAACTTTTGCCTGAACTAATTCTTTTGAATTGATAGTCCAGCGGGATGCCTTAATTTTGCCTAAGTCACACGTTTTCATGTTTTTTTTGACTTCGCAGGCTTTTTTCTTTTTTTCTCGATTTTTGACTTTTTGAACAAGATGTGTGACATTAGCTTGTCTTTGCTTGTTGAGAGGATTGTGATTGCCTCGTTTCTTGATGAATGAGGGATAACATTGTGGTTCCACATCCTCTAGATTCATTATACATGAAGGATAGCCCTCGTAGTTTCTCTTCAAAAAAAACATCTTCCTTATGAACTTTGAACACTCAGTCAGATTAACTAAAAACTACCCTGCCCCAGGTTAAAATTCAAGGTTTTTTGTATAGAAAAGAAACTTCTACTTCAAGGCTCAAAAGGGGTTAGCAAGGGATTATCTTCCTTATATCTCCAGTGTTTAGGGATTTGAAACAATGCCTGTACATCATCAGCAAGATTTTATCCAAAAGCAAACAAACAGAGATTTTGTGTTCTTTAGATCATCATCCTCCCCTCAATCTTTGCCTAGGCAAGAGAATGAGCAACAATTTGGTATCATAGTGCAAAAGCAATTTAAAATTTGAAAACAAATATGAGTGAAACGAATGAATTTCTTCAAGACAAACATCTTCATTGTATTAAGATAATCATTCAGATGCAAACAAACTCTTACTTGCAAACAATGTTTTGATAAACAAGAAAAATTACAAAAAGCAGAAATAAGTTAATGATCGGGGAAGGCTTTCCATCTGTGACCATCAATCGTGTTTACTCTTCGGCACATGCTTGATTTGAACTTCAAAACCAACGTTCTTGAATGACAAGGTACCACTTCTGACCAACTTCTGAACCTCAATCTTCAAAGCAAAGCAACCCTCCAAGTCATGCCCAGGAGCACCTTGATGAAAAGTACAAGCCAAATCAGCTTTGTAGTACCAATGTATCTCCTCAGGAACCTTC